GGATGTGATTTTGGTCAAGTTTGTCCTGCTGGCTTGTTTATACAACATCAGTCAATGAAACCTGAGTTCCAGAAGCTTCACAAGCATCATCAAATAAAGTCATAAAGCTTCTGAAAATCATGCTCCATTGACTGATGTTGTATGAACACAAACATGCAACCAGCAGGAGAAACTTAATCAAAATCACCTTTTGTGTTCAGGGAAAAAAACACACACAAGGATTGAACAGCATGGAGGCGAGTAAATAATGACTGAATTTATGTTTAGATAAACTAACCCTTTAAAGCCCCATATAGAAAATGAAATATATGTAAGCATTTATATTATAGTAGTACCTTGAAGAAATAAACTGCTTTATTTAGCGTTTGTGCCCAAGACACAAAAAAGCATTTACAAAAATCACATTTACATTTATTCATTTGTCAGACACTTTTATCTGAAGTGACTTACAGTGCTCTTATTACAGGGACCCCAATCCCCCAGCAGCCACCTGGAGTAAAGACAGCGGTGATGACGACTGCGGAGATCGAACCAGCAGCCTTCTGCTGACCAGTTCACTACACCACAGAAGTGATGAAGCTATATCAAAAATTAGCATGTAGTTGTAAACATGAAATTAAATTTGGCAAGAAATGGAATGCTGACAACAAAGCGTTTTACTCTATTTAAATGTGTTACAGATAGTCGTGCTTTAATGTTTGGAGCAGACACATAGGCTGCCAAATTGTCCTGCACATGTTCTCCTGCTCTTGTCTCATGATTGTGTGGTTCACAGTGTTGGGCAGTAACGCATTACTGTAATTTGATGAATTTTTTAGTAACGGAGTAATTTAACGCGTTATAATTTTCAAAATAGTAATTAGAGTATAGTTACAAGCCGAGGTCTCTATACGTTACTGCCGCGTTACATTGCTGACAGAAAGCAGTGTTTTATACTCTGGGGATTGTAAAAAGGATGTACACGCATTTTCGAGTCAAGTGCCAGCGGATTAGAGAGCTGCTCTCCCGCGAGACACGACGGGATCCTTAGGAATACGATAAAATGATTTCCCCATTGCTTTCCCCCGCCTGTTCCGGCATCCTGACGCACAGCAGCTGTTGAAATAGTAAGGTTTGTAAGGTCTAAACAGTCTGGTTTTCAATTATTGTTCGACAACTGTTGATACCAAGGCTACAGCCGCTCTAGCTAGGGATGGGCGTATCGATCAGAAGTATCGATATATGTCGCTACCAAGGCTACAGCCGCTCTAGCGCTCTCCTGGTTGCTTGCCAAAATGGGGGAGTTTAGATTGCGTGACGTCAACCTCCGGAGCTCTATAGTAAACTGACTTAAAACTTTAGCATTAGAAAAAAGCTGTAGTTTGTCAGAAAAGAAACATCTACAATGTTTTAATTTGCAGTTAGTTTTAACGGTTATAAAATAACAAACGAATTAACGAATAAACACATTTTTTGTGTTATTTGTTTGCTGTTTGTTTCTGTATGATACAGATATCAGATACAGATAAAGAAATCAATTAATTATCTCTGTATGATATTTTTATTGTAAAAAAGAGGTTAAGAGGCTAAGCAAGAAAAGATATGATTTCCAGTAAACGATGCTGAGAAATGAAAGCACTGAAGTGTCACATAAAGGCGTCAGAACATCAGCTATGAGGATGTGGGTACTTTTCATTCCTAGTTTTGGTTAAAAAAAACAAAAAACTTTAGCGGAACTTACAAAAAGTGATATTTGACCAGCAAATAAAAGTCAGTCGCAGAGAAAGAAAATCACAACAAACTCATTTCATGGTTTGTACAGAGAAACATTTAAACAACGTCTTACTTATAAAAATGTCTCACACTGGAACTTATTTCTCTAATCATTTAAAATAATATTGTAATGTTTTATCTGGCATGCAGGTCCGAGGTCAGTCACAGATTAAACCTGTAAAGATGCCAAGACTGTATGAAAAATGTTGATATTAATAGTAAACATGAATAAACAGGGCACAAACAGCTTCAGAATAGCATTAACTACTCAGTTTTGTTTTTAAACGTACAGTTTAAAACATATACATTATTCAGAGTAGTAATAACAATGATAATAATAATAACATCCATCTTGGTTTATTTCTATAAAAAAAAAAAAAAAAAAGATTCTCCACCCTGACCTCCTCCGGGGGAAGAGCAGCTCCATCCATCTCCGTCACCCGTCTCAAGTGATTTGCCGACCACTTGCAGGATTTAGCTGTGGCCGAGACAGGTGGCATTCTCTTCCCACCAGGGAGCTTGATGTCGCAGCTGAGCTTTCTGCACTGGAGTTTTTTTTTTCTTACTGAGAACTGCTGGGCACAGTTCCCGAGCACGTCGCCGAAAAGGCCACCTTGCAAAATGGGAGCATCGAGAAAACACGTGTTGTCGACATCTCACATCTCTGCAAACTTCAGCCAGAGATGGCTCTTCTAGACCACAAAAGTGGACATTGTCTGACCGCTGCGTGCAGCTCCTGCATTAACCCCGGCTCAGAAGTATCTTTGCGCAGTATAACTGCTTTGGCCTGGTAGACTGCAGGACAGCCATCGCATGCAGGGCAGAGGTGACCTGTCCAGCAGGACTGTAAGCTTCAGCAGCCAAATCTACTGTTATCTCACAGGCACTGGATGGGAGCTGCAGACGATCCCACTAGGTGGCAGCACTTTGCAGGCACTGCAACCGCACACTCTACCTGGGGAACTCCCACGAACTCCCTAATTGCCCAGCCATCAAGTGTAGTGAGAGAGGAAAAACATTTGAAGCAGATTTTGGCACAAATTATGCACCATAATGGCACAAATGTGCTTCCATACTGCCAAAGTTATTCATGCAGAAAGGCACAGGAGCAGGGCAAGGTGATTCACGCATTGCAAACCGCCCTCAGAAGCCAAGCATCCAGCCGCGATTACTCAAAACAAATCAAACAAATCTGCGCACAGCAGCCCTGGTAAGCATAGCTGTCAACTCTGAATCCAATTCAGCATGAGCAAACAATGTGTAAACTTAACTACCACAACTAACGCACCGTTATGAGATGTGAGGGACCATGTGATTTGTTGAATGTAGTGAACGAATACGCCCTTCGCTGAACGAGTTTCTTTTGAGTCTGAACGAGAGATCCTCTTGTTCGTGAATGAAATGACTGAACTGGTACAAAGCGCAGTTATAGGTACTGTGCAAATAAACTTGTTTATATATTCATATTTAGCATACAGAACATAACTCAACGTTTAATCCCCGATTTATGAATGTGTAAATGTTTTGACCAAACAACTAAAATGTTAATTATGCAAGAAAACCTTGTGCTTTGGTCATCTGAACAACTTATTTAGACTTTATTTATTTAATGAGTAGATTATGCACACATTTTAATAAAAACAAATCAGTTTTTTGTAATAAGTAAATACGTTCGTTGACTTAAGACATAACACATAACACATATGACACTCTTTTTCGCCACCTACTGGTGTATTTATGTAATTTGAAGAAATGGTCACTGAACGAATCAGTGAACGAATCTGAACGAATCATTTTGGTGAACGAACTGAAAATGAATGAATCTCTTGAAAGAATCCAAATTTCCACCACTATTGTAGGGTGAGCTGCGTGGTAAGCATAGCTGTCAACTCTGAATCCAATTCAGCATGAGCAAACAATGTGCAAACTTAACTACCACAACTAACGCACCGTTACGCCAACACAGAACTCTCCCCGTTATCTTTACACTAGAAGAGTGAACAATAGAGCTGAGATAAACAAATGCTCGGCTCCGAAGAGAAAGCTTGTAGGGTGAGCTGCGTGCTTCCCCCTTATACTCATAGTAATGGGAGTGGCTAAGCTAAGCAAGCTCACATTCCAATGTTCCATTGGCTCATTTCATTACCACTCAAAGGTGATTGGGGCTCTCAGGTGAGATCCCAATTCATCAGTAACTAACGTAACATCATAGTGACTGACTGAAAGGGAACCCCAATTTCCTGGCAGAGAAAGCATTAACCGTCGGCACTCAACTATATTGCTATTACAGCTGCTATTTTGATTTCTGGCACCTGTTAGAGTAGTGACAGAAATGAGGAGAAATGCCATTTGTGGCAAACATGTGTCAACTTGTGCGGATCATATCTATAAGTGATACAAGCCATTAAAGGGATAGTTCACCCAAAAATGAAAATTATCCCATAATTTACTCGCCTTCAAGTCATCCTAGGTGTAAATGACTTTCTTCTTTGAGACAAACACAATCAGTTATAATAAAAACTTACCCAGGCTCTTCCAAACTTTATAATGGCAGTGAATGGGTGGTGAGATTTTAAAGCTCAAAAAAGTGCATCCATTGATCATAAAACGTACTTCACGTGGCTCCAGGGGGTTAGTAAAGGCCTTCTGAAGCGATTCGTTGCATTTGTGTAAGATAAACATCCTTATTTAAAACTTTATAAAGCAAAACAACGAGCTTCTGGTGCGATGGTCTTGCACATTCGACGTACATTAACTTCTGTGACGTAGTACACAATGCCATGATGAGCTATGCATTCTTACCATGTCAGCTGCGTAGCACCTCATTGTATTGTGTACTACGTTGTGGAAGTTAAAGGGATAGTTCACCCAAAAATGAAAATTCTGTCATCATTTACTCACCCTCAGGTTGTTCCAAACCTGTATAAATTCTCGCCCCCATTGACTCCTATAGTATTTGTTTTTCCTACTATGGTAGTAAATGGGGGCGAGATCTGTTAGGTTACTGACATTCTTACAAATATCTTCCTTTGTGTTCAGCAGAACAAAGAAATTTATACAGGTTTGGAGCTACTTGAAGGTGAGTAAATGTCGACAGAATTTTCATTTTTGGGTAAACTATCCCATTAAAATCATTGGTCCAGCCTTAGGGCCTGATGCAAGCATGCGTTAAAAAAAATAGTAATAAAAATTAAACAAAAAACTTTTGCTGCCCTTAATCGTGGTAGGAGACAAGGGAAGGAGGATAGATGTTATGGTTCCTCAACATCTTACTTGGCTCTTCTTGCGTCATGTTTCTCTACGTCCTACCTTTTTGGAGGAAGGGTACACCTCATAAGGGGACAGACTGATCCAAAGACAGACATAACTACTTGAACCTCACAGCAGTTGGCTGCCGCCCACATTTTTTTGCTTAATATTTGCATAAAGTCTAACATTGCTCAACCTCTTGCCCGCTCTCCACTTTCTCTGGTCCACTGTCAATCCCACGAATCACCTTGCAAGTATTAAGCTGAACTACCATAGGAATGAATCAAACATGTCTCTGCCCTGCTCGCTCTGCTCCAGTGGACATGCACCATAACTATCATATTCGGCAAGTAGACGGCTCTTCACTGTCACCACATTATAAATGCATGCTTTCCACTAAATTTTTTATTGCTTTAACATCAACAGAAAGGCAGATATATCTGAAAGAATTACAAGCAAAGGTTTATTAAACAGCTCAATTTTCACACCACATTCTTCACTATATTAAAACAATAAATTAATACAATAACACTACAAAATCAAAATCCTCCAAAAAAGAATACATAATTCAATGTGGTCACGTGTTTCTACTGACCTCTGCATGTGGTTTCAGTGATCTGATCACAAACATTTTTACCTGCTTCCGTCTGTATTTAACACTGAACTGAGTAGATAAAAACAAGAGAAACCAGAAAAAGACAAAATAGATTTTATACATAAAACGTGATTTTGATCAATTCAGTGTTGAGAGTTTGAACACTTCTTTTTTTTTTTCAGGGATCAGACTATGGAATAAAGAGGAGATAAAGCAGAATACTTGCTCTCGTATACAAATTAATACAGATTTCAATGTCACAGCTTCAGACTCCATTCAGGACAAATCTGAATTACTAAATATTGAAGGTGGACTGAGCCTGAGTGTTTTAGGTGGACTCGTCAACGTAAGTGGAGCAGCGAAATATCTCAAAGACACAAAGACGTCTTTTAAACAGAAGAGACTTACGCTGCATTATAATTCAACCAGCAGATTTGAGGAGCTGATAATTAATCATTTGCCTTCTGAAAATATTCTGATAAAATGTGATGATGATGATATAGCCACACATGTAGTGACAGGAGTGCTCTATGGAGCAGACGCCTGCTTTGTGTTTGACAGAGAAGTTTCATCTGATGAGGACACAAGCACAACAGAAGGAGAAGTAAAAGTGGCTCTTGAGAAACTATATGGCTCTGTTTCAGTAAATGCAAACGCTGGACTAAGTGCGAATGAAAATCAGAAATCTGAATTCAAAAACTTCACATGTACATTTTATGGCGACTTCAAGTTGGCGTCAAACCCGACGTCTTTTGAAGATGCAGTGGAGGTTTTTGCTGATCTTCCAAACCTACTGGGAGAAAATCAAGAGCTGGCAGTTCCTCTGAGAGTTTGGCTTTATCCTCTGGACCAACTTCACTCGAAAGTTTCCAAACTTCATAAAGACATCAGCATGGATCTAATCGTCGAGATAGAATCAGTGGTTGAGGGTTTAAACACAGCTGAGATGAAATGCAGTGACCTTCTGAAAAACTCTCCCGCTCAGACGTTTGCTGCATTTAAAAAGAAAATACTGCAAATGAAGAAAAACTGCTACATGTACAAGTTGAGATTCAGGAAGAAACTCTGCTCTTTGCTGCCAAGCATCCGCGGAGACGTGATGAAGGAAACTGCACTGAATGAACTTCTACAAGAAAATAATGAATCTCCATTCAGAAGATGTGATCTTGAAGGATGGCTGGAAGAGAGGGAAAGAGAGTCTGAGATCATTAAATCAGTCCTCAGACAGCTGAAGGATTATGGTGCACAGATAGTAGACAACATAGATGTCATCTTGATGGATCTGGAGGTTGGAAATCTGGTCAGTTACACATTCATATCACTGAACTGCTCAGATGTGCTGCTTCTTCATCAAACCTCCTATCTGAGTCCTTCAGTAGAAGGAGAAACCGATGAGAAGATCCCTGATTCAAAACAAAAGTCTTGGCTCACTGCTGAGATCAAAAAGGGCATGAAGAAAAACTTAAAGACATTTAAGAACTTGATTGATTCAAAAGACTGTAACCCAGCTAGGTTCATTTTTTCTTCAGTAGAAATGGAGGATAATCCTGGTTCCTGCATTCTCCTGTATGAAAGTGAATGTGATGAAGCTGTTTACTTTACTCCTCCATCCAAACCAGCCTGTCCAATCATTGAAGAGGTTGAAGATCAGAATGTGGTACTGAAGGTCGTTCCTTCATCATGTCCTGCTACAGTGGAGCTCAGATTACTGTATAAAGCGAAGCAGAACACAGTCTGGACATCTGAACCTGTGCCGAAGGATCAAAACACGGTTACTCTGACTGATCTGAGAGAAGAAACTGAGTATGAGATCAAATACGCTGCGGTGGGGAAACTCAACTACACTGTAGACAGTGACGTGATCAGCATTACCACAGAGGTATGAAGACACATGTTTATTTAATGATTGATCAGAGACATATGCAGTTTTATGAGAGGGACATTTGAGGTATACTTTATACCAGGGGTGGCGAACTCCGGTCCTGGAGAGCCGCAGTCCTGCAGAGTTCAGCTCCAACCCTAATAAAAACTCACCTGCCTGTAGCTTCCTAGTAACCCTTCAGGACTTGATTAGCTTGTTCAGGTGTGTTTGATTAGGGTTGAAGCAAAACTCTGCAGGGCTGCGGCTCTCCAGGACCGACGTTCGCCACCCCTGCTTTATACTATGGGTCTGCAACTCTGGACCTTGAGATCCACTGTCCTGCAGAGTTTAGTTCCAACCCTAATCAAACACACCTGAACAAACTAATCAAGGTCTTCAGGATTACAACACAGCAGGTAGGTGTTTTTAATCTGGGTTGGAGCTAAACTCTGCAGGAAAGTGGGTCTCAAGGTCCAGAGTTGAAGGCTTTATACACATATGCCATTATTGCCAGTGTCATCATCTTATCAGGTGTTAATTAGAATAAAACGTGTCTTTCAGCAAAGTCCATGGCGCATAGCAGCTAAGGGTGAGTCATATAAATTTTCTGACTTATTTTATCATTTTTTATCTGTTAACCATAAACCAACACAGTGGCTCTACACCAACGCTTTGAAACTAAATGATGTAAATATCATAGCTTTATATATATATATAAAAGGGATAATCAAAATCCTTTAATGCACGGCTAGCCGTTGATTATCCCGCTTATTCCATGGTCATTTGCCAAGTTATAGACAAGTTAAAACTAGTATTGCTCTTTGCAGCACAATATTTGACCGAATGGGTAAAAATTAGTTATTTTCGTCAGTTACGGCACGTTATCGCTAGCATTCTGCCCGCTTCAAATCAGACACAGAGGTGAAATAGTGCGGTAAGATCACATTTATTTGAATGAATTATAGCATTTATTTGAATTAATTATCGAGAGAAAGAGAGAGAGATGCAACTGTGTGTGCGTTACCGGTGTCTGCGCGTCTCTACAAACAATCAAGCCTTGTTTAGTTCCTTCAAAAATAGCGAGTTTACCACCTCTTTGCTCGGGAATATAATGTAGCGATTTATTAATAAAAGTTATTCTTTGTGTGATCTGCGAAGACTGCAATCTCCGAACTCTCTCTCTCTCACTCAGCCAATCAGAATCCAGTATTCAGACAGACCATGGAATAAGTATATATATATATA